GAGTTATTAACGGATAAAAATTTACTTTGTAATTAATAATTTTTAAGTGGTCGGATACTTTTGCTAGGTGAGTGTACATGTCAAATTCTTGATCTAATTTAGATTGCTGTTGGAAGTACAATTCATATTTATATAAAAAAAAGTTAAATTTTAATGATATTATGGATGTAGAAAATAACTTGTTAAAAATATGGTTTTGTTTTTATAAATGGACTAGTTATTGGAAAGGACATCATACTGGTATTCATTCAGGAAACAGTGAATTACAAATACAATGCTTATCAGCATTTTCTCCTTTATTTCCTATTGCTGATAAAGTAAATTATATCCATTTAGCTATTTATTTTCTTGTTATTATAGCCAAAAATCCAAAAATTCAAATCTTATTGAAATATGCAAGTTCAGTCAACTTGACACAAAATGGACATTACTTAGCATTTAATGAGACATTGGAAACTTTTGGAGTTAAGTTCATTAAACAAAATATAACTGGTAATGTAGTTGATAAAAAAAAATTTGAAATGTCAAAAGAACGGATGAATCTTTTATTAGATGAGTTTCTTTATAATATTGTATTATCAACAACTACATGAGCTATTAAAGAATGTCATGAAGTATTATGGAAATTAATTAATCAATTACTTGAAGCATTTGAAATGGAAGATGGAACTCCACCTATTATTTCAAAATTGTAATCAATTAACAACAGAAGGATTGAAAAATTGTATGGATGTGCAGACTTAAAAGAACATTCAAAAAAAAATATCCAAAAATGTACCAATCCTTTTAATAATTCACCAAATGAAAATTCAACACAAGAAATGAATGAATTACCAACAACATTTGAATCAAGTGAAATTATTCCTGTAAATGAACAGGCATCCACAAAAAAAGTTAAAACTACATAACATTGTCCATCAAAAGAAGAAAAAGAAATTTTGGAAACTTTATTTACATATGATATAAGACCAACTGATACTGTAATTGATTCCACTTTATCAAATCTATTAGCTCATTGGGATGGTTGGACAAAAAAAAGATTAGAGATGCTTGGTGTTATGAAAAAAGAAAAGAAAATTCCAAAAGAATAAAATAAATTAATATATGAAAGTTATTAATTCTTTTTTATTAATAATAATAAATAATAAAAAATTAAAAAATGATTACATCAATAATATTACAACTAAATATAGCTAATTAATAGTTTTCAAGTGACCCTTTCTTTTTAGATCTTGAGACAATTTTGTTAAGAAAGAAGATATGAAATTTCTTATTGATTACAAATAAAAATTCAATTTTTTTGCATTTATACAAAAACTAACTGATTTATTGCCTTTTTGACCTTAGAAAAACTTTTTTCTCTCGTGGGAGTACATATATTTCTATTGTTAAAACCTCATATTTATTTCTAGTTTTATGAAGATCTTGAAAAAAGTATAATATTTTAGACGATAAATTTTAAGTGGGAAAACTAATTTTTAAAGAAATAAAAACGATTAAAATTGGTTAAGAGCGATCACTTAGTCTATGTAAGAATGTTCGGCGATAGTTACACAAAATTTTTTTACTATGAAATTGAATTTGATCACTGACTGATAAGGTTTTGTTTTTTTTTGTCGCGTTTTGGGTTAAATCCGGCAGGTGTAACCAAAATCTCTAGATCATCTATAAACCATTCTACCTTTTTTATTATTTTCTATTTCGAAAAATGTCTTTTACTAACCTTGTTAGAAAGAGTTTCTCTTATTCTTTACGTCGAACGTACCCTTTCAAGTCCGTAATTACAATTCCTAGGTATTTATTAATATTTAAAGTGTTTTATTCTCGAAATATACAAAATAATAACCTTATATTATAAAGGTATTTTCATAATTCAGCCGTTCGTTATGCTGAGGTTCAGCCTTCTCTTAATACATTAACTGAAGAAGAAGAAAGTATCCGAGAAGCAGGTAAGACTAATTAATACACTATTCTTTGCTTTTAATTTTCCGCATATATATTAAATATTAATATAATTTTGTAACTTTATAAAGTCTCACAGTATGCACAAAAAAAGTTACAGTTAAAAGTTCGCGAAATGGATGAAAAAGAAAAACTCGATCCGGAAGTTCTTAAAGATTTATTTGAACAGGGGGTTAGTAATCAATGATTTGATATATTGTGAATTAATCAAAATTGATCATCTGTTTTGTATTATTCATTAGTTTATGGGTATCGAGACAGAGTCAGAATATGGTGGTTCAAACAGTTCTTTCTTAGCCGCGATTTTAGTCGTGGAAGGTAAAAATCTAAAAAAAGTATATTTTTTGATTAAACCAAAAAGCAATTTTGGTTAAGTGTCGGTTTTTCCATAATAGAATTGGCAAAAGTGGATCCATCCGTTAGTGTAATTTGTGATGTTCAGGTTAGCATTTATTGACGATCATATGACGATCATACCTTATAATCAATCGATTTAGTAAGTTGAATATATCGTTGTATTAAATTATAGAATACACTTGTCAGCACATTATTCCGTAAATATGGTAACGATTACTTGAAAGAAAAATATTTGCCGCGTCTTGTGAAAGACACGGTGAGAATAACTCTATTTTTTTGCATCGCAAAATAATTTGTAATAATTTGTCACGTATATTTTAAAATTATTGTTATTTGTAGGTTGGTTGCTTTTGTCTATCTGAATCTGAAGCTGGTAGTGATGCATTTGCTCTCAAAACTCGAGCCGAAAAGAAAGGTGATTATTATGTAATCAAAGGATCGAAAATGTGGATCACAAATTCTGCGGAAGCAGATATTTTTTTAGTCTTTGCTAATTTGGGTAAATATAATTTTACGTTATGTTAATGTGAGTTTTAGTAATTTTCATTAGTAAAAAGGTCTAATGGTATTATATAAAAATAGATCCATCCAAGAAACACAAAGGAATTACTTGTTTTGTTATAGAAAAGGAAATGGGGGTTAAAGTTGCAAAGAAAGAATCGAAGGTATCTTTAAATAAAGTTATTAGGATTTAAATTTTTGTGCATATTACAATTATTGATTTTTTTTTTTTTTTTTTTTTTTTTTTTTTTTTTTTTTTTTTTTTTTTTTTTTTTTTTTTTTTTTTTTTTTTTTTTTAATTTTTTTTTTTTTTTTTTTTTTTTTTTTTTTTTTTTTTTTTTTTTTTTTTTTTTTTTTTTAGCTCGGAATTAGAGCTTCTTCAACTTGTACTCTTAATTTTGATGAAATAAAGGTAAAGTTTCATATTTCGATACGATAGATTATGAATTGTTATTTATTCGTTAATTTTTTTTTAGGTTCCTGAAAGTAATGTTCTTGGAGAAATAGGGAAAGGTATTATTTTATATTTTAAGTTGATCGGAACGCTAAATTTTGATGAAATTCATTTTTTATTTTTTATTTTTTTCAGGTTATAAATATGCCATTGAGATATTGAATGAAGGCCGTATTGGTATAGCTGCTCAGATGATTGGTCTAGCTCAGGGAGCTTACGATAGTGCATTGCCTTATTTATTTGAGAGGAAGGCTTTCGGAAATTATATTGGAGAATTTCAGGTAAGTTATATAAGAGAATGAAATATCGTGTTGAAATTATTTTTAATATTTTTTCTCAAATCTTTATTAATCCAAGGGCATGCAACATCAATTCGCTCAAAGTCAGTTATATAAAAAGTTTGCAAATTTTATGTTCTTAATCTGAAAAATTAATCTTAAATAAATAAATATATATATAGTTGCTACCGAAATCGAAGCAGCCAGATTATTGACATACAATGCGGCCAGAATTAAGCAAGAAGGAAAAAATTTTGTCAAAGAAGCTGCTTTTGCTAAATTATATTCTTCACAAATTGCAGAAAAGGTTATAATGAGTTTTTTTTGATTATTCATATATTTCATTCTTAATTTATTTTAATTAATTTTTAAAATCAATTTTTTTTTAGACGGCCTCGAAGTCAATTGAATGGATGGGAGGAGTTGGTTTTACTCGAGAGTTTCCAGGTAATTATATATATGTATATAAAACAATTGAATTTTTTTTTTTTAATTTATATAATGTTTTAATGGTTTTAATATATTTGTATATGAAAGTTGAAAAGTTCTACAGAGATGCAAAAATTGGTAAATATTTAGAAACTATTTATTGTGTTATTTGTTATTTATTTTTATTATGACACATTTTTAATAATATAATTAGGATCCATATATGAGGGAACTTCAAACATGCAATTAACAACAATTGCTAAATTAATATCACAAGAATATAAGAAGTAAAAAAATATTATCAGAATGTATTAAGAAGAATATATTTTTAATATTTTTTGAAAATTTTAATAGATACTTTATTATTAAAATCAATTTAAAGTATTGTATTTTTCAACTAGTTATTTATTTATATAGAATAATGTTTTTTTAAGTAGCAAAAGTTGATTTAAATGTTTATCATTTTATAAAAAATTTGGCAATTCATTATTTTTAATAAATTTTAAAAGTTCACGTGATTTAACAGTCCAAATTATCATCGTTTGATGAGATTTTTGTTAAAAAAAAAGAAAGCTACAAATTTCGAATGATAATGATTAAAAATGGGGATTCGCAAAATTCGAGATTTTCAAATTTGGAAACTTTCCCCTCTCGCGAAAAGATACAAGAATTCTTTAATTCCGACAATACTGACGAAGCTTTATATATAGGTAATACTAGATAATGCATAATTTCAAATTTATAGAATAGCAAATAACCAATTCGAATTTTTACCTTATATTAGGAATAAATAAACTTCGAAATCAATTGACACTTGGAATAAATAAATTTGTCGCTAATGATATTACGGAGACGGATAATTGGCTAACTCCTGTTTATGATTATATTAGTACTTTTTCGGAATGTCGTGAATTATTTAAAATCTGGGACTTACAAATAGCCGTATGTCTTACTTTTATTGTATTACTATTTTTTTTTTTCGAGAAGTTCAGGTTTAATAGGAATATAATTATTTAATTATGATCATTATGCCTCATTATTTCTTTTTTATTTAGAATAATATAACAAAGCTTGAAACATCTATATTAGAACTTTTCGCGAAACTTATTCAATATGCTTCAATTGTTCCCTCCTTGCGATCCGCCGGAATAATATTAATTCGAAATATTTTAAAAAATTATATGAAAACTTTAATCCGGAATTTATCATCTAATCGATTACCGACGATTCAATCTACACTTAAATTGTTGGTTATGATGAATTCGTATGAAGTTACTACCACGAGAGAATTACTCGATGAATTTCCTTTTGGATTGAATGTAATTTTTTGATAACTTTCATTTTCATTCAGTTTATTTTTGCTTTAATTTATTAATACTTTCGTTATGAACACCTTAAGGGATTACCAAAATTATTGACAATCAGAAAAGAAGATAAATCTCGTTCACAAGATGGTACGATTTTTTTGATACAACTTTTTTTTATAACTTTTATAAATCTTAATTTTTTTTTTTTAATGAAAAAAAAACGTTAGATATTCGCACTTTATACATTCGGTTTATATTATCATTTTTTGAACACGGTGATATTCAAGTCAAAATTAGGTTGTTAGAAAAAAAATACTTGGTGAGCTCAATATTTAAAGGGATGATTAAAGATTCATATGAGGTATTTCTTATTCTTTTGGTGCCAAATAATTATTTTAATTTATTTTAAATTATTTTTAAATTATTTTTTTTTTGAATTATTTGAATTATTTTATAGTTGGTTAAAGAAATTTTGAAAAAAATAAATGATCACGTTGTCAACGACAATAAAATTGATAGAAGAACTAAATTAGCATTTTTTAATATGTCATTATTGTATAAAGTAAGTAATTAAAATAATTTAAATTCTTTTTTAATTTATTTAATAAAACAATTTCATGCAATACTGATTTATAATTCTAGCTCTTGCAACTTTATTCCAAAAATGAATCAGAATCACCAGAATCAAATAATATTGTTGCAGATGTCGTTCATCAATTTCTATTATCAATATGTTGTGAACCAGGCAGAGGAATATGTTTTCATGATTTTGGATGGTATTCTTCTGGTTCTTTGCCCACATTTGTATCTAATGAACAGTTTAAGGATGATAAAAATATCGGAATACGCAATATTAGATTGTCTTCATTTATAAAAGGATTGAATCCTACGCATGATTTGAGGCAACGTGAATTATTGTTGAAAATTCTTGAAGCATGTCCAGAATTGGTTCATGTGTAAGTAATAACGTAAAATTCATAAATTTTATATTATTTAGGAGTAATTAATTGTACTTATTTCCATTGGTCGAATTTTCTTAGGTATTGGCAAACTGTTAAAAATACATTTGATCCACCTTTCCTATCGTTTAGATGGTTGGCAAATATAAGTTTACTTCAAAAGGTGATATCATTACCAGTGCCTTCGTTACACAACTGTTCTACAAAAACGAAAACCCATATTTCAACACCTCCTAGAGTAGACGCGATAATGGATAACATATTACCATTAGTTTTTGATCGTACTATTACAAACAAATGTCTTGTAAATCAAAGTCCTTTGGTTAATTATAAGACGATGATAACATTGTGTATGGCATTCCAAAAATTAGATAAAGTTATGCTATTATTTAATAAAATAATTAATGATTTAGAAGTTCAGGAAGATTTTTCTGCTACAGATAATAAAAAATTACTTTCATCTTTATGGCACGAAGTGATTGATAATATATTAGAAGAAATGAAGCGTAGAGTTCCCGAAATTCAGAATTTAATAAAGGTATATAATCTTACATTATCAGATGGAAAAGAAAGTTCAACAATGACAGATGATGATAAAGATAATGATAATAAACATGAAGATAAAGATGAACAAATGAGAAATAATATGTTGCAAGAAGCAGTTCTGAAGTTGATTAAATATTATTATCAATATATACCGGAATCCATTATGGAAAATAAATTTGATATAGGCAGAATAATTCCAGCTAATCTTTGTAATATTCATTTGGGAATACAATTGAATTTATTGGAACTATTAAATATTGTTTCTGAATTCAATTTGGCTGCAAAGTCAGGTTAGCGACGGACAATAAAAATATTCGAGTTTGAAATATTTCAATATTTTTAATATTTTCTTATAATTATTATAATATATTAACCACCAATTAATTTTATAATTTTATTTAGATTATAATCACTTGAATAATATATTATTTCTATACATAAGAACTCCGTATTCCCAGATTCGTAAAAGTGCGCAACGCGTGCTCGAGAAACTTTTTTATAAATCCATCATATTTCAATACGAGCCATATGAATTTAATGTTTGGCTCGAATCTTTACCACAAATTTTTTCTGAAGAGAAAATTATTTATGATTATTACGATCAATTTTCAATAATAAGATTTTTTGTTGAATGTATTGAGATTTTTCTCAAAAATCCATTTCCATATATTGATGAATTAAACAAAATAACAATTATTACTAATGATAAACAAGAGGATTTGATGGAAATCGACGGAGTAAAAGATAATAAAAAAAGGGATATTAGTACTTTATTATCAGAAAGATTAAGAAATATTCTCAATGTCACAGTAAGAGAATCAGGAGAACGATTTGATAATTATCCTTTTAGTCCATTGTTAATTACTTTAATGATGGAATATCAGAAAAATAAAGATAATCTTGGTATCACACTATTTCTACAAACGTTATTTCGAAATTTATTATATAAGCAAATTACTCCACAGTATCTGAATTCATTATATACGACTTCTTTGCAGATTTTTTTTACTGGTAATGGTATTGTTAATGATGATGATGATGGTGATGACGACGATAATGACACTTTAAAGGAATTGCATAGAAAAGGACATTGGGAAGTTATAGATTATTTAAGAAGTCTTGGCGTTATTTTTCAACAATATGTAACGCTTAAAAGATTAAATTTTCGATTATCTCAGGATGGGTTTATATACAAATTGAATAAAGATGAATTAAGAGCCACTAATTTATGTCAAGCAATTCTCAAAGGTAATATTCTCACGTATTATATTTGCATAATTTTTTTAAAATTAATAATTTAATTAAATTATTATTTTTATTTAGATTCTAACCCTACCGATTTGAATGAGGCCAGGAAAAAATTTCTTGAATTGCTATCAATCATGCCAATCTCTATTTTAAATAATTCATTAAATAATTTAATAAATTATTGCAAAAATGTTCTTGGCTGGATTAAATTTGAACCAATTGTGAGATATATAGACTTTAGATTGCCTATTTATGGTAGTCTTTTTGAATTCAAAGAAGTTAAGGCCATTTTGAATGGAAGAAAAATGGATAGCAAAACAAATACGAATGAAAGAAGGTAATTTATTGATGTTATTATTATTATTATTATTGTTGTCATTATTATTATTTTGATTTTTCCTAACAATTTTTCTTTGATCGTTATAGTTCAAAACTTCTTATAGAAGAATTCTTATATAATGCGATTTCTTTCTCCACACTTTTTACGAATGCCTTATCTCATATGAATAATCCATCAATAGAACATATATTAATTAGATCCATATCTTCTTGTTTTTCACCCAAGATTCTCGATACTTCAGCTCGTCACATAATGTTATATATAAATTGTATTTTCAGAAGAAGTCATCATCTTAATTCAGACGTTGGGCAAACATTGAAAATATGCCTAAATCTGTTAAAAACACTAGTAATGAGGGTGGTGGAGGATTTCATATCTTGTGATGATGAAATATCTATTTGTGAAGATATTATTGAGTTGGTGCTGGATTGGCCTATTTTGAAAGAATTGTTCTTAATGAACAACTCATTTGCAAATTTTCAAGATGATCAAACTGTTTGCGATTTGTTGGATTACTTGGATCGATGTAAATTATTTTTTTTAATAAATATATATAAATATAATGTTGATGATATTAAATTCTTTAATATATTTTTTTAGTTATTGCTGATTTAGTAGGTTACTTTGGAAAGAACGAAAACGAGAGAGGCGATAACAAAATATTGAGAAAACGTAAGGAGCTTGGATTGAAATACATTTATGACTTCAAGATTATTCTACTGAACAAGGTTTCCTACTTCTTGCAAGAAATAGAAACAGAAACAGATTCTATGTCTCTAAATATGCTTTCAAGAAAGGTATAAATTAAATCTTGTTTATCGAGAATCTCTTAAATCCAATTCATTTTATTTTTGTTTTATTTATTTTTGTTTTATTTATTTTAGATCTGTTCCATCTTTCCGACTTTTGCTAATGTTTATACTCCAAGTGAATTGTCAAGAATTATTAATCTAATATTCAAGATTAATATTGATAAAATTTCACCTTCAACGAAAGAAACCATCATGCACTTCTTTCCTCTCATATTTGGTAAGATGTCATATAGAAATATTAGGGCAATCATAAAGGATGATAATCTTAGAATGGTAGTTAAATTTTGGCGAACTTATTCGTCATCATATGAAATGGATAATATTTTATTACGAATTATTGAAGCATTACTTCCTCCGGGATTTATTAGTACGGTTAGTAATACGGTTAATAACACCAAGTTATTATTAATTGAAGAAAATGATTTTCAATTGGTGAGACAACATTTATTATCTTCCTGGAAAAAGGTTTTTAATAAGGATTTTGCGAAATATATTCTGGAAAATATGGAAAATATGAATGACATTAAAGGAGTAACGGTTAGATCTAGGATATTGTCAGTTCTTTTAATGACTAGTTCAGAAGTTAGATTAGAATTTGCTATTAAAATGATCGATAATCCAAATTTACTTGATTCATTATTATCTTCTACCAATAATAAAAATAATAACAGTAACAATAATAATAATAGTAATAATAATGATGAAATTATAACATTAATAGAAATGTTTATTAAAGTAGTAATAACAATTAATTCAGAATCTAAACTTTCTTGGTCACGTGTGGCTACAGATGATGATAAACGAGCAATTTATTCACTATCAGAACAATATGGATTGAAATTATTTCAAAATTTATTAAAAATTTTAAAAATTCCAACGTTAACAGAACAAACGAAAAAAGATGGAGAAAAAATCGAAATTTCTATAATAATATGTTCATTTTTGAGTTTATGTCCATCTTTAAAATTGTTAAATGCTCTCGATCGATCGATATCATCAATATTTCCGAATGAATTCATAAATATCTTAAATGTGGATTATTTAAATATAATAGAATGTTATTTGAAACTTAATTACAAGGATTTGGATGAAATAAAAATCAAAAGATTTATTTCTAATTGTTTACATCAAACTACTTTATTTATGGAAAATGATAAATTCAAAATTTGCAGTCATGAAATGTTGGTAGCAATTTTCTCTAAAATTGGTAAGGACAATTAAGTGTTTTAAGTTTAATAATATTTATTTTAATATTTATTTTAATATTCATTTTAATATTCATTTTGAGTTTAATAATTGTTAAATAATTGTTATTTATAATTATTTTAAAATTAATAATAATAATAATTATAATTATAATAATCTTATATTTCTTATTATATTTATCTTCCTATTTTTTTTAGACAATTTGATAAAATTTATACCTCATAATGTGAATTTGGATGCTAACATTATTGGAGAATTCATTTTCGTTCTTTTGGAAAAGAATTTTGAAGAATATATGATTTTGAAATGTATAACATCATTGATTTCTAGTGAATATAATAAAGAGGTGGAATTATTTATTTATTTATTTATTTATTAATTTCTTTAATTAATTAATTAATTAAATTTTTTTTTTTTTTTTTTAATTAGCAATCACTTGGCCCTTCTCTGGATCGAGTCATTGAAGCTATTATAAACAATCCGCATTTTAAAAATTTAACTATTTCACCCGATAATCCATTTTTGATAAAAATAGAAATATTTTATTTACTTAATACAATATTTCATGCGAATCCCATAACTTGTTGTAAAGAAATATTTATCAATTCACTTTTAGATTGTTATGAAGCATCGACATCATTAACGGATCAATTATTACTTGATATCTTTATGTTATATGAAAGATCCACCAATTCATCAATTGGAACTTACACCATGCTTTGGGGTTCCGGATCATCAACTAACATTCGAAAAATTGATCGACAACGAGGAATTATTATGGGTCAAAGAATATTAGTAGAATCTTTGGATTTAATAGATTCTAATAAGATGATGATTAGTTTTACACATTTTCCAATTGATAAAGAATTAGAGGTGACAAACCAACTACAACAATATTGGCAATTTCAAGAATATCAAGAACGTCAGGAATGTCAGGAATGTCAAGAATATTTATTTAATGAGTTAACGAAATCCTTGACAGTATATGATCCTTCATTCTTTTTACCACTTTTTGCAAGTTTGTTATCATATGGAAATTTATTGGATATTCGAAAGTTTATTGAAATTAATGCGTTGGGATTTATTGTGGTTTCTTTATCTTCAACTGTTGAAAAAGTGAGAAAGGTTGGATATTATTTAATGGATGAAATATATATTCTTCTAGAGGTAACATTGATTGATTGATTGATTGATTGATTGATTGATTTATTTATTATCATTATTATTTTATATAAATATATATAATTATTTATCTGTATAATTATTTATTGGTATAATTATTTATTTGATATTTATTTATATATTTATAGCATGCCAATTTTAGAGAAAAGAAACAGATTTTATTATTATTGAATTCTTTAAAGAATTCTATTGTTGACCGTAAGAATGGTGAATCAATTCAACGGCTACCAACAATAATAACGATATTCTTTGCTCATGCTTTAAATATATTTACAAATCCTGGACATTTCATGTATCCAGCAATAAATAAATTTTTGTTATCAAGGCCATTAATAGATTTGGAGGTATGAATATCTCCATTTTTTTTTATGTTTTCTAATAATTTGAATTTATTATTATTATTAATAATTATAATTTTTAATAATAGTATTTTTTATAATAATAATATTTTTATAATAATAATAATAATAATAATAATAATAATAATAATAATAATAATAATAATAATAATAATATTTTTGATAGGATATTCCAATGTTTTATATTCTTTTCTATTCTTCTTCCCCAGAAAATCATCAAAAAGAAAGAGTATGGATTTTAAGATTATTATCTGCTGGATTAAAAACTTTCGAAGTAAGTCTTGAAGTAATTAATGATAATAATATTTTTTTTGATTACTTTCTTTATTTCTAACGAGAATTATTTTTTTTTTTCAATTTCATATTATAAAATAAATAATAAATATTATAATGATAAGGATTATCAAATATATAAAAGAAGATATGTTTGGGATATAATTTCCGGATATTATAGTTCTCAACTTGTTGATAATGTTTCTCGTAAACTTATAATTGAGGTAAAAAATATTTTTATATTATATTTTAAATCTTTATATTGTATATTTTTTATATTATATTTTAAATCTTTATATTTTTTTTATTGATTATATGTCAATATTTCAATATATTTAGATTTTATTTAATGCAACATCAATTTCCCAAGTTATTACTGACATGATATTAAATCGAGGATTATTAACATGGGTGAAGTTTTTATGTTTATCACAATCTTCTATTATTTCTACTACTTCTATTTCTTCTACTACTTCTACCACTTCCATTTCTTCTTTTACTTCTAACGATTCAATATTATTTGGATTACGAATATTACTTCGAGCGTTACAGGGATGTAATACTTCAATATTAAAAATCTCAAATGGTATTATAGTTAAACAAGCAATTTTAATTACAACTGAAATGTTAAATTCCATAAGTAAGTTTATTTCTATTATTAATTTATTATTATTATTATTTTTATTATTATTTATTAAACATTTATTTTATTTTACTTCATTTTATTATTATGGATATTATTATATAAATATATATATTATATTTATGATATTTAGATAATAATCATTTAATAAAAGAAGAAAATATTTCATGGTTATTTAATTCACTTCACATTATTATTCAGATCTATAATTATTTAACTTTAATTTCACCTTTTTCATATTCACATATCATTTTTACACCTTATAATGCATCAAATATTCTTTCAATTCTTGAACAATGTGAATTATTTATTCCAAATTTTACTATTATAAATGATGATGATAATTCACTTATTAATATTGATCATCATCACAATTATTATTATCACCATCATTATCACAATAATTATAATTATCCATCATCAACAGATAAATTAGAATTACTTTATAAAAAAGATTCAAATATCCCTAAATTATATAAACAAATTATTAGAATGTTATTTGAATTAATTGTTAGTAGTGATAGGCATAATTTAATAATAGTGAATAAGATAATTAATAGAGCATTAATGATGGGAGTTTCATTTGAAGTAAAACAATGGATGATTGAATTAATGAGTTTAAGTGAAAATGAAAATGAAGATGATGAAACTATTAAAGATGATAATATAAATAATATAAATAATAATATAGATAATATAAATAATATAAATAATATAAATAATATGGATGATATAGTAGATAATATGGTAGATAATATGATAATGTAGATAAATTTAGATAAATTTAGATAATGTAGATAAAAATAAAAAAAAATATTTTCTCGATCTTTTCTTTTCTAAAAATTCTAAAAATTGCATTTAATATATAAAATATTTAATATTAAAATAGATGTTTATCGCATAAAGAAAAAATGGTTATATTTATAGTAATGTTACGTTATACAACACATACGTTATACAATGAATGTTAGTTGATCGACATTTTATTCATTATTTGTTATTTAGTATACTGTAAACCTGTATACCATATCAAGCGAGAATACTTTCCACATTAAATTACATTAAATTACATTTAAATTACATTACATTACATTTAAAATGGTTTAAAATTTAATTTTCAAGAAATAGCAATCACAAATGAAATCATAAATAATTAAAGTTAAAAAATCAATAATAAAAATGGATATTTTTGAAAGAAATCTCTCTTTTATAAATACCAGGAATGGAATGAATGAAATCTTTTTAATAAATCAAAAAAAAAAAAAATCAAAAAAAAAAATAACTAAAATAACTTTAATAATTAAATTAATAATATTAATAATAAAACTTTTATTAGTAATAATGAGCATCATCATTAATAATAATAAACATCATTAATACCATTAATACTGAAATAATAAATACATCATTAATACTGTAATAATACCATTAATAATAATAATTATTATTATAATTAAAATATAATTCTAACAATAGACAATTTTAGAATTTCGTAGTGGGAAAGTAATCTATTATCTATTTCCGATATTCCGATTATGGTATTCTTGAATCTTATATATTTTTCTTGATTACAGTATATTTTTTCGTTTAATAAAGTTTGTATTACTTTGCATTGTCACAACCGCAGTTTTAAAGTTTAAGTTTAGAAATGTTAATAATCGTAATCATAATCATAATCAATAATAAAGAAATAATAAGAAATTAATCAATATCAGATCAGATATTAAGTTCAATAAGTTTTGTAATAAGTTTTTGCATATATCATTTGACTATATTTGTCAAGTAAAGGTTATACACAAACAACTTTTTATAATTGATATAATCGATATAATTGATGTACAATAGGAATGGATACATTAATCATCCAATTAAATTAAATTTAGGCTGACGTACATCCGTAACACTAACCTTCATAAATCCGGATTTTTTACTTTCGTTTGTTTATCAACGTTTCCGACACCACCTTTTTCATCCTTTTTTCTCCCATCACATCATCTGAAAAAAAATCTTCAAGTGTTGTGTCAAAAAAGCAAACAAAAGGTATTTGATTTTTTTTTTTTTTTTTTTTTACGAATTTTGATTTTGTTTTAGTCTTATTATTATTATTATTATTGAATTAAAAAAATTTTTTTTTTTTCAATTATAAATTTATTTTTTATTTTTTCATATTTTTTATTATTATTATTATTTTTTTTTTTTTTGCCCACGTTTGGTCCTTCGGTTATTACATATGGTCATATTCATATTTCTTATGGTCAATTTTTAAAATAAAATATTTTATTAATACAATACCGAAATCTTTTTTCTCTTTTTTTTTTCCTTGGATCTTTTGAATTCTCACTTAAATTTTCATATATTTCAAATTTTAATATATTTGACAAATATTTTACCAATATTTTATATATTTTTTTCCTTTTGTTCTTCTTGGTCCTCTTGTTTATCGATTATTTTTATTATTGAATATATTCGACCATTTGTTAATATATAAAATAATTTTTAATAATATCTCTCTAATAATATCTCTGATAATTTATTTATAATAATAAATATTTATAATATTTTATAATATTTATAATATTTTATAATATTTATAATATTTTATGATAATTTATAATAATTGATAATAATCATAATAATTCAATAATAATTATAATAATTCAATAATAATTATAATAATTCATAATAATTATAATAATATTAGGTAGAAATGATGATGGATTTAGAAGATTCGGATACAGATCGGACAACAACAATCAAAGGTGATGATTCAGAATTAGAAGATAGCAGTACCACAAGTCCTAATAGTGGTGATGATATTAATAATAATATTATTGATAATATTATTGATATTAATGATAGTCTTAATAGTAATCATAATAGCAATGACAATAATAATAATAATAATAATAATAATAATAATAATAATAATAATAATAATAACAATATTAATATTAATAATAATAATAATATTATTAATAATATTAATAATAATAATGGTAATAATAATAATCTTAATCTTAATAATCTTAATAATTCACAAATCAAAAAAAGAGCAAGATCAAATTCATCATCGGAAGGGTTCATTGAAGATTTTGGTGATGATGATGATGATGATTCACAATTAAGTTCTGTAGGTTCGCATTTTGGTTCATCATCATCTTCATCAAGTGGTAATGAAAATAATAATGAAAATAACAATATTAATATTAATATTATTAATAATAATAAAAAAACAAAATCGAGTTATGTTACTTCGTCACCTAATAATAGAATAACTAATGTTGTGAAAAATCATAGGAAACCTGGTAGACCACCTAAAAGGCAACAACTTTATTTAAGAGGTGGTAGTGGTGGATTAAGTTTAAATAATAGTTTAAGTAATAGTTTAAGTAATAGTTTAAGTGGTGGTGGAGTGGGAAATGGAAATGGAGTGAAAGGTAGAAAGAAAAGTGAAATGAAAAGTGAAATGAAAGGTGGAATGAAAGATAGAATGAAAAGTGGAATAAAAAGTGGTGGATTTAAAAGTGGAATAAAAAGTGGAATAAAAAGTGAAATAAAAAGTGAAATAAAAAGTGGAATAAAAAGTGGAATAAAAAGTGGAATAAGAAGTGGAATGGGATTAAGAGGAATAAGAGGTGGAATTAGTGATGATGAAGGTGATGATGATGATGATGATGATGATGAGGATGATGATGATGATGAATATTTACCTCCGGGTAATATTTCAAGAAACAAAAGACAAATTAATAAATCAATTAAATCAAATAAATCAATTAAATCTCCAACAAAATTACCACCATTACCACCGCCACCGCCACCACCAATTCCTATTCAAACTGCAAGAAAACGTGGAAGACCGGCTGGAATTAAGAATATTAAGAATAGAGTTGCTAATATAAGACTTGATAATAATAATAATAATAATAATAATAATAATAATAATTATCATCATAATAATTATAATGGTAATGGTAATGGTTATGGTATTTATGGTTATAATAAAGATAGTAATGGTAATGGTGGAAATAGATATATTAAATATAATAAATATAACGGTAATCATAATGGTAATGTTCGTAATGTTCGTAGTAATAATGGTAGTAATTTCAATAATAATCTCAATAATCTCAATAATTTCAATAATCTTAATAATCTTAATAATGATAATGGATATGGAAGAGATCATGATTCTCAAATTATTCATAGAAGAGCTTTAGGAAAATTAAGTATGATAGAAGAAAATGACGTTTTTGCCAAGGATAACGCCGGACAAACAAATTTACATCGAGCTTGTCAAGAAGAAAATTTAGATATGGTGAAAGCTTTAATTTATGGTGGTGCCGATATTAATGTTCGTGATAATGCTGGTTTAACTCCACTTCACGAAGCTGTAAATGCTCAAAATTTTGATATCGTACAATTCTTATTAGAAGCTGGAGCAAATCCTAATATAGGTGAATCCGATGTTGTAGATACTCCACTTCATGATGCTGTAAATTTAGGACATGAAGATATAATTTCAATTTTAATAAGTTACGGTGCAGACCCAGATAAAACTAATTTAACCGGATTAACTCCAAAAATGTCGGCAAAAGATGATCCAAGAATTTTATTATTACTTAAATCTGTTAATACAGTTAAAGAACCAAATTCATTAATAGTTCAACAAAATGTGGAAATGAGATCTGCTGAAGAAAATAGAAGAATTTTAATGGGTGAAACAGGTATAATTTATTATTTAATTATTTAAATTATTTAATTATTTAATTATTTAATTATTTAATTATTGTTATTTATTCATTATTTATATTAATTTATTTATTATTTTTATTCATCCTTAATTTTTTTTTTCTAGGAAAAATTCTACAACGTAAATCCATGTCAACTCATTCAGGACGTTCTACTCGTTCATCTAAAATGTATAATTATAGTTACAATAATAGATATGGTGATAGAAGTAAATATAATGAAAGTTTAAGGAATAATGGAGCTAGAGGAATAACTTCTTCAAATGAGGTTTTAAGATTAGATCTTTCAATTGATTCTAAAACTGGTCGTAGTAGATTACATCATTATTCAAAATTGGGTCATGCCGAAGCTGTTGTAGGAATATTAGAAATGGATTCTTCCATAATTAATTTGGCTGATAAATCTAACCGACGTACTTCTTTACATGAAGCTTCAATAGAAGGTCATCATGATATTATAGGTTTTTTATTAGCATATCAAGCTAATATTAATGCTCAAGATAAATATGGAAATACTCCTCTTCATTATGCTTCATTTTATGGTCATATCGAAGTAATTAAATTACTCCTAGAACATAATACCGCTCTCGATATAAAAAATGAAGATGGTAAAACTCCTTTAGATATGGCGAGAGATAGAAAACATATTATACAATTGCTTTGTCAAGCATTAGATATGGATTCCGATAAATATTTATCACATAATACTCCGGAAAAAGTTACGGATCTAGATTCTGATCAAGAAGAAAAAGATGATGACGCCGATGATGATGGTGACGACGACGACGGCGATGATGATGACGATGATAATATAGATAAAGGTGAAGAAAATAAATCATATCCTCCTCCACCAACAATATCATGTCCTCCGCTACCTTCAACACTAAAAATATCATCGGAATCATTTCCTTCACCTCCAACAGTGTCGTGTCCTCCCCCACCACCAATAGATTCATATTCATATCTACCACCAACAGTCACATGTCAACCAACAGTTTCATGTCAATCAACAGAGTCAGATTCGTTTCCACCGACGGAGTCATATACAGAGTCACACACGGAGCCATACACAGAGCCATACACAGAAGAGTCACATACAGAATCATGTGTATTAGTAGATTCATTTCCAAAAACGGATCCATATTTAACAGATTCACGTACAGAGCCACGCGTGGTAGTAGATTCTGAAATACAAACATCTCAAAAAGATAATAATAATAAAAAAAATTCACAAAGTGGACTTTATGATACAGATCCTTTATTATTATCGAATGATTCAGAACCCATATATACAGATATAGATTCAATGTCGTTTTCATCAGATATCGAAGAAGATGAAGCCCAAGAATCATCATCACCAAAACCGATAATTAAAGCTGGACCAATATACGCATTTCAATTTGATCCTAATATTGAAGGATATCCATTAGTTCCTTACACGGGTGACGAAGATGCTAGATTTGTGATTGATATTCAAATTGAAAAATATTTAGAATGGGAAAGAGGAAATTTAATGAAAAAGATGATTCAAAATATGTCTAGAAGGAAAGTTACGCTTGATGAGAAAAGGATGTTATGGCCTTTATTAAATAAAGAGATTTGGAGAGAACCGGTACCTGAACATTCATTTGATAATATTCAAACCAAACGAAGGGCTCAATTTGATAAATGGGAATTACATTTTATTAAGGTTCGTGTAATTATATATATATATATATATATATATATTTAATTTAGAGATCATTATGTTTTAATTTGAAAATTATTAATATTAATTTCATTTGATTATTGTTTAGTATCCCGATATATTGAAAATCATAAGAGGACCTTGGCAAGAACGACAAATAGGCGAACTTAAAATATTTCCTATTGATATAGTTAGTAATGAAATTATGGACGATGGAGAAGAATCCGATTATTAGAAATTAAAAGAAAAAAATATTATCAATAATAATAATAATGGCGATGGTTAAATAATAATAGTTATAATTAATAATAATTAATATTATTTTTTATATAGTGTGGAGAAATATTTTGAAATTATTATTTTCTCTTTTTTTTTAAAAAAAAAAAATATTTCGGAATTATTTTGTTATAAAAATAAATCTGTTATATTTATATAGATGATACAAATAGTAAATAAAATTTAATCTATAGTAATCAATCAAATTAGTTCAAATCAAATCAAATCAAATAAATTCAATCAAATTAGTTCAAATCAAATCAAATCAGTTTAAATCAAATCATATTTAATTCAATCAGATCATCATTTGAAAAATCAAATCACACCACAAAGAAAAAGCTATTAAAAAAAGAGTTTTGAAAAATTGGTTAGTCTGCTGAATTTTAGTTTCACTATTTACTATTATTAGTTCTATTTCTATTATTGTTGTTTCTTTCCTGTCACGAGGGAAAAACTGTTTAACATCAGATAATTATTATTATTATTCATCGTCATCATTCATCACCATCATAGAAAAAAAAATTGAGTTGAATCCAATGGACTTTTTTTTTTATAGAAATCCTGAATTTAAATTTTTACTTTATTTTATTCAATTTTTACTTTTTGTTAAAAAAATTCTTGTACAAATATATTCTTCTTTTACTTTACATTTCATTATTACTTTTTTTTTCATTCTTCTTTTTCCCTTTAAAAAAAATTTCCTTTATAAATAAATTTCCTTTTTCTTAAAAAATAAAAAATAAAAAATTTTAAAATAGCAATCAAAAAATCAAAATATATATTTAAAATTCATAGGTTAAATAATTGAATAATTTTAAAATTTTTTTTTTAGATTTTATTCAAATTATTCAAATTTAGTGAATACTTTAAAAAAACTTAGAAAATTATATTATTTTTTATTAATATTCCACTAGGAATACATTGAAGAATATATATACATATAGATTATTTCTTACTAATTCTTTTTCACTTTCTCATTTTTGTTAATATTCTGAAAAAAAAATTGTCAGGTTGTGTAGGAAAAGAAAAAAAGAATGGTATTTGAGTGATCTATTTTTTTTTTTAATTATTTTGAAATGTGAATTTTATATATATATTAAATATATATAATTTTATTATTATTTTGGAAATTGTAAATAAAAACTTGAAATAAAAAAAAAATATTGACCTTTAGATAATTTATTTTTGGGTTAATTTTAATTACATTACTTATCATTTTTGTCTTTTGTGGTATAATTTGAATTGAAATAAATGAAACAAATTGAAAAAATAAAATAAAATAAAATAAATTGAAATAATTGAAATGGACACATGTGATTACTAATTTAAATTGATAAATTTATTCATTTTCTCTTACGCTTTTTTACACCAACTTTTATACTCATCTTTGGTTTTCCTTTCATAAAATTATTTTTTCTTTGTTGATGAGAATTCTTCCAATCTGGATTTAAATTATTGCTATTCTTTTTCCTATTACCAATATCCCTATTCCTATTACTACTATTACTACTAATATTCCCACTAATATTCCTATTATTACTAGATTTAGATGATAGTTGTAATTTTGTTTCATTTTCTTCTGAACTACTTTCATTTTCATCCCCTTCTTCTTCTTCGAAATCATTATAATCATTTAAATCTTCTTTAAAAAGCTCATCATCACCTTCCATTATATATTCATCATTAATTCTATTTTTATATATGTCATCTTCATCGTTATCATTAATACTTTCACAACTATCTTCGCTACCATCCTCACTATTATCTTCACTACTATCTTCATCATCATCATCATCATCATAATTATATTGTATATCATTCATTATATTATCTTCCTCCTCTTCATGATCTGTTTCTTGTTCTTCTTTATCTTTATCTGATATTTCTATTTTTTTAACTATATAAATACATATACATACATATATATGTTATTATTGAGAGCTTTGCAATTGGTAATCTAATTTTATATTTTATATTAATAAAAAAAAAAAAAAAAATCAAATATCTCACCACTAGTTACCAATCGATGGGCTTCTTTCTCTAATTTTTTACGTTCCACATTTCTTTCTTGTTCTTTACGTCTCATTTGTTTTAGTTTTCGACGTTGTTCACGTTCTTGATTCATCTTTTTAATTTCTTCTGGTGTTTTATGAACTATATATATATATATAAAATAAATGTTATAAATAAAATATTATATCTAAACAACAAAATTTAAAAGTTATCTCGAGATAATAATAATGATGATGATTTTCTTACTAAATTCATGAAATAATACTTCTCCAGCACATAATTCAGCTTGAATTTTTACTAATTTCAATTCCATCCGTGGACCTATTTCTGTCAATTTTATAGCACGTTGATCTGATTTTTTATTTATTTTACCAATAAAATCTTGTGCTAATGTTACAGTGGTCTCTATTCCACTTTCTGCCTCACTTTCTGATACATGACCTTCTCTAAATAAAAAAAATTAAATATTAATAATAAAATTAATCAAGTAATTTTAATTCTGAAAGAGATAATATTATTTTTATCACCTTAATACATATTCACTAATATCTTGATAATTACTTAAATCTGGTATATTATTTGTAACTATTCGTCTAACACTTTTACTAATACCAACAGGTTTTACACCTATACAATAATGTCTAAAATCAATATTCTTTGTTTCCGGATCATAATTAAACATAACAACTCTTCTGGCTTCTGCTAATTGCATCTAATTATATTATAAAAAATAGATTATTTTATAAATATATCATTTTATAAATAAATAAATAAATCATTTTATAAATATATTATTTTAATAAATATATTATGTTGTAGAAAGAGAAGATTAAATAATATTAATGATAAATTATAATTTACTTTGTTTATATTTATAGAAGGAAACATATTTTGAAGCATGCTTGTCATTAACTTCATATGATTTTCTTCTCCACCAAAATTGTTTAATACAACCTATAATATAATGTTAATTAATTATAATATAATGTTAATTAATTAATTAATGAAATGATTATGAAATTTTAACAAAAATTAAATAAAATACCAATGGTGAAGTTTTAAATTCGGATTTTGGACTTTTAGGATTAATTTGTGTTGACAACACATCACCAATTAATGAATACTTTAATACTCTAAAGCATAAAGTAGGTCCTCGAGGTGTTCGTGCCAACCTCAAATTAGTTCCATTATCTGTTTGTGTAAATATTAAAAACTGGGTTACGCCTATTTGACCAGCCACCGATAAAAAATCTTTTACTTTATTATGTTTACGCTCCTATAAAAAAAAATAATAGTAATAATAGTAATAATATTTTAATATTTTAATTTTTTAATATTTAAATATAATATAAAAATACTCACTTTTAATTTTATAGCAGTTTGTGGTTCCATCACTTTACGCATATCTTTTACAAGACGGGAAACAGATTTACCAACCTTTCCCGACTTAAAAACAAAACTTTTTGGTGCCGGAGGTGCATTTGGATCTACACTTTCTTCTGCTGGAATATGAGTTCTTCTCTTTTTCTAATTATTATTAAATATAACAATAATAATAATAATAATAATAATAATAATAATAATAATAATACTTTATGATAAATAAATAAATAATAATGAAATTAATAAATAAATACTTTAAAAAAATTCGATACATTACTCTTCTTGTTTTTCCCATTGACCCGATTGATCGCAATCTTTAATAATCTTTAATGATCGTTAATGTGAAATAATGAAAAAACAATGAAAATTCACGTGAATTCTTCAATTATCTAAACTTTCGTATTGTCACATGAACTATAAACCAAGAAAAAATCTTTTTAAATATCTTTAATGTATTTAAAATATATTCATAAACTTTTTATATGTTCATATTGCGGATAGTCTTTATTGATAACAGTAAAAAATTTTTAACATCCGATGTCAAATAAAGTATAACAAAGTATAACACGTAATATTTTTTTGTAATATTTTTTGTAATGACAAATAATTTTATATAAACTTGTTTTTTGTTATTCTATTCGATTATATTCTTATTATTCATATTCAATTTCTTCAAATAAAATAAAAATTAGTAAAATTAGTAAAATTAATAAAATTAAATTTTATAAAATTCTTCGTTGATTTTTTATTTTATTTTTTTTTTTATCATGAATTTTGCTTCACCGGAAAATATTAAAATCATTAAACTTTTACGATCCAATATAATTCCTCCCGAATCAATACAGAACATGCGATTACACATCAAATCGTTAATAGTTGAAGCCGAACAAGATAATTCTAATCATGATAATGTAGATGGAGCCATTAAAGTCGTTGCACTTATTGATTGTTGTATTAGAGAATTATCAAAGTTTGATATAAATTATTTTCAGGGACCAGAAGATGGACGTGCGTTTATACATGATTTAATTACTGAGAATTCGGCATTTGTGGATATTAAGTATGAGAAAAAAACAACCAGGAGAAAAAAACACGCAAGTATTATTGATGAAAACAATAATGAAAACAATTATAATATTAATAATTATAATAATTATAATAATTATAATAATAATAATTATGATAATAATAATTATAATTATAATTATTACAATAATAATAATAATAATGATAATAATAATATAAACGATAATTACGACGATAATTACAACGATAATGATAACGATAATTATAACGATAATGATAATAATGAGGACTTCACGGAAACTTTCGAATCTACAACAAATAATAATTCAAAAGATAATAAAATTACTCCAAAGAATATTATTGTGAGTGTGAATGTTAATGAATCTTCAAAAGATATTAAAGATATTAAAGATATTGAAGATATTGAAGATATTAGAAATTCCGCGGAATTTATTTATCCGTTTTCTTCCAAGATTAATTACAACAACAACAACAATAATGCTTTTTTACTAGATAATTTAACCGATTATTATGAATTATCATCAGATTTTGAAAAATATATTGTTCAGAGAGATGATTTATTTGTGAATCCTTTTCAAGATATTATCAATGATGATGATGATGATAATAAAGACAATATTAATGATAATAATGTAACGGGGTAGAATTCTCTCTAAAAGAAGTGATTTATGGAATTACTTTTCTCATTCGAGAATTAGGTAACAATTTTCAGTTATAATATTTGGCCGTCATATGTTATTTATTAATTTACATATATTATGGTGTATTTACTCATAAGATATATAAGATATAAAGTGATTATCAACATTTATTTTTTTGCTTAAAAAACATAAAATTATCATTTAATTATATCTAAAGAAGATTATTATTGTTGTATTAAATGATTCCTATTATAACATTTAGTTGTTATAATTATTATAATTATTAATATATAAACTGGCTAAATTAATTAGCAAAGAAATGAATCCACTAAATGTTTTAATATAGATACAATTGCCATTTCACCTTTAAGAATTGTATTTTTTATCAATTTGTATGTTTGAGATTATTCATCAAGCAAGGATGACATAAAAAAGAATATCAAAAACAAGAACAATATAATTCAATTTTCTTTTAAATGAAAATAATCCTCCCTATCCATTCTAAAGATTTAATTAGAATTCTATTTTTGTCACAATGATCAACCCCAACCCATTAAATAGATACGTGTTAAACATTGTGATCCTATTATACTATATTATTACCCGTTGAATAATATAAACATGACTTTAAATCCAACAAACAATTTTACCATATTATTTTGATAAGAACAGAATTATTATAATAACCGTTGAATAATATTAACATGATTTTGAATAATATTAAATCCAACAAACAATTTTATCATATTATTTTTATAAGAACAGAATTATTATAAATATCATCTTTTTGCTAGCTTTTTTTTCCCAACAACAAAAAAAAACTTTTATTAACAAATAAAATTCCATATTTTAAAAAAAATAATAACTCCTCTAAAGTTTTGACAACTTAAAATCACGATTAAAAATGAATCCAAAAATCGTTGCCACTTCTTCTTCTACTACTACCACCACCGTTACTGAGAAACCTGATGGAGGTGATCCAACAAACTATTGCTCAATCATGCATTCCTCAGGATCTATTATTCTTGGTGCAACCGAGAAACCAGACGGAGGTGATCCAACCAACCAGTGCTCTATCATGTAATTTACACGAGCCTCCTTCCTTTCACGAAATATCATCGTAATAAATCGAAAATTTATATTTTAATATAAAATATTATATATAAATAGCATGTATTGTGTAATTACTTTAATTTTTATTACCTTTTTTATTTTAATATCAGATTAGGATTTATTTATTCAAACAAATTGTAATTTATTATTATAAATTTTATTTAGTGTTTAATATTTTAATTTATTATTTTTCTGGTAATTTTTCATTCAGAATTAATTTCATTATGCATTCTTTATCTTATTTTTAAATAATTAAACAATAAAATTTATCATGTTATTCTAAAAACAAAAAGTCCAGAAAATAAATTTGTCGCAGATGTTTTTCTAAAAAAATCATTTGATTGCAAGTTTAGTTTACTCAACCGTAGTAATTCTTGAAATAAGTAAAAATAAAATAGATCTTACTATACTTGTCAAAAAAAAAATTGCATCATTAGTGATATTAGATGATTGATGTTACACGGATTATCTCTCCAAAAGAAGTGAATTAATGTAACAATTTTCAGTTATGATAATTTGGCCGTTATTTTGGTTTATTATTCGTTATATGAATTTACATATATTATGATGCATTTAGATAAGATATAAAGTGCTGTCAACATTTATTTAAACATAATATTATTATTTAATTATATGTAAAAAAGATTATTATTATTTAAATTAATCGGCAAAGAAAAGATATCTTAATATACCATTAGACATAATAAAAACGCGAGAAATTGGATCGCGATCAGTTGTGTTACATAAAAAATACTGTCATTTTCATCGCTTAAAAGAGAATTGAATATTAATTTTGTTCTTGTTTTTGTTATTCTTTTTATGTCCTTGATGAATAATCTCAAATATACATATTGATAAAAAATACAATCCTTAAAGATGAAATTGTACCAGATGGTGTGCTTATTTCAATGAAACAAATCCTAAAGACTACTGTTTCTGGATTTCTACAAGTTTCGTTCAAAGAAAGTTGACTTTACCTTCTCTTTTCAAAAAGAGGCATACAAACTAGCAGTTCTGGATCTTTTCGTGAATGGGGATTCAGAGAAATGAAAGAAGTTGTTAGTCAAATGAAAAAATTTTTCAAGGTATTTGCTTGATTTCATATTATTGTTCACTGCATATCCGATTAATAAACGGAGCTCTCATAGATATGGGAATGCTGTTCACCTTATGAATGGAATACCCGCTATGGGAAAATGAAACCCTTATACAACTACGGTGACAATGAAATCTGTACACCTTATGGATAGAATGCCGTTGTACTAGTGTACTAATTTCGTGCTAGTTAGGTCATACTCTTATTAACGTTAATTTCTTAATATTTTTAGAACTCAACATGACCTATCCGCGATGTTGATGCTTTTTGGAAAAGAATTGAACTAAATAATCAGCTACAGGGTCGATTACAGAATGCAGAGGTTGTAGTTTTTCTGTCTATTTTAATAAAGTTGGAATTTATATTGATTTTTTTTTTGTTTTATTGATTGCAGATTGAAGGTACTAGCTCATTAATAAGCATCTCCACAGAAACCCTTAAGATACCGTTGAAAAACATAAATAACATTATTATGCTAATATAATTATTCACGGAAATTATCAGGAAATCAATAATCAAATGATAAACATCAACTTCTCCAAATAAAGTCAGTACATATCTTAATTTATCCCCTTTTGGCAATTTTGATTTTGGTTGACTAATGCCAATCCTACACTGTAAATATATATGATAATGACCTTTTTTCGATTTAAACTTTTGATATTCATATTCAATTTCTCCAAATAGAAATAAATTAATCTCTTCGTTGATTATTTATTTATTTATTTTTTTATGAATTTTGTTTCACTGGAAAATATTAAAATCATTAAACTTTTACGATCCGAATAATTCCTCCCGAATCAATACAGAACATGCGATTACACTTCAGATCATTGATAATTGAAGCGAAACAAGATAATTTTAATCATGATAATATAGATGGAACTATTAAAGTCGTTGCACTTATTGATTGTTGTGTTAGAGAATTATCAAAGTTTAGTATAAAATATTTTCAGGGACGTGCGCTTATACATGATTAATTACTGGGAAGTTGAATATTAAGTATGAGAAAAACAACTAGGAGAAAAAACACGCAAGTATTATTGATGGAAACAACAATTAAAACAATTATAACAATAATTATAACGATAATGATGAGGACTCATGGAAACTTTCGAATCTACAACGAATAATAATTAAAAGATAATAAATTATTCCAAAGAATATTATGTTGAGTGTGAATGTCAATGAATCTTCCAAAGATATTAAAGATATTAAAGATATTGAAGATATTAGAATTCCGCGAAATTTATTTACTAAGACTAATTACAATAGTAATGTTTTTTTACAGATTTGAAAAATATATGCTCAGAGAGATGATTTATTTGTGAATTCTTTTTAAGATATTATTAATGATTATGATGATAACAAAAATAAAGACAATATCAATGATACTAATGTAATAAGGTAGAATTCTCTCTAAAAGAAGTAATTTACGGAATCATTCGAGAATTAGGTAACAATTTCAGTTATAATATTTGCCGTCATATGTTATTTGTTAATTTACATATATTATGGTGTGTTTACCCAAAGTGTGTTATCAACATTTATTTTTTTGCTTAAAATGATTTTTCAATTTAGACTTTTTTAGGAAAGCATTTTAAAATCTTTTTTTTGTGGATCACAATATTGCTCATATTATTATTTATTATTATTTTCAGATTTTCGGCATATATGTAGAGTTTCGACATATATTTGAGCCCTTGGTTTGTGAAACAAAAGAGGCCCACATGTAAATACGATAATTGCAACTCGGAATTTTATAAGTCCTCTTTTTAAAAAATAAAAAGATAATGAACACATTCCAGCCAATGTCACATGATAAAGCGTGATTGGCAACATTGCATCATCATCGTTACATAAATCTTAGAAAAGAGTGAGTGGTAAAAATATTTATCTATAATAAATATACACAAAATATCACCCGACAGGTCATTTCTCACAATTCTCTTTTATCTACCTCCGGAACGTAACTATTCACTTCGTTGATATCAAAAACCCTCAACATTTTCGTAATATGTGGTTCATCCTATTCCTTTTGCCTTTAATATTCCTTTTTTTTTATTCTAGCCCAAACAAAACCTATAAAAACACCACAGCCGAAAATGATTCTTATTTGGTTGAAAACTGGGATACGGAAACCCTCATCGATTTTTTGAAAGAACAGAACCTAAAACTTAATGAGGATGATTTTAAAATACTTCGCAAGAAAAAAATAAATGGGAAGTCCTTCCTCCTCATGAATGAAAAAAAGCTCGAGCTTTGTGGGTTACCGGTTTTATTACTTGCTGAGGTAATTAGGTCCCTCAAGGACAATAAGAAACGCCTGTTCTCGTCATCCTGTAATTTGAAAGAAGTAAAAGAAGTATTAACAAAATACAACATCGATGACAATGGACATATAGGTACTATTTGCCAATTTTCACAAAGTATAGATTTTTGTTAATTTTGTATGATGTAGAGCTAACTATTCTGGCCTATTCACTTGAAGGGGACGATAAGGAATTGCAACAGTGTGTAAGAGAAACAAAACTGAACACTAGCGAACAAGAAACAAACAATCTTACCTCTACTGTATCTTTATCATCCACAAGCACACAAACTATGAATCTTTCCGATCCAAAGAGTCTAACATATCTAATCCAAGGCCTAATTTCGAACGGCCTGAGACACTTTAATCTTGACGAGAGTTTATTATTTTTTGGGGGTAAAACGGAAGGTGTGTGCAGAATTAGCAGTGTGGACCCAAGGTTGTCAAGTGTGTCACTATATTGTGAGTATGAACTTGGGAAAGCTTATCATCAATGCTATTCACCGTTTTTTGCTGGATATCCTATAGTTTTAAAGAGTCCGTTTCGTTTATATGAAACAAAGATTATTACGGGACTCGATAAGAGCAAGACAAAGTTTATTGATAATGATAACTATGTTATTGAGTTTGTTGAAGAACTCATCAAATCCAGCCTAAATATCTCTGATCCTTCTATAAGAACAACAACAGGACAAACATCTGCAGCTCCGCAGACCAGAACAGTCATGACACAGACAAAGACCTACATTGAGGACAAAGAAACATTAACTTACATTGCAAAAGGTATAATGTTCAAGAGCATATGCATTTTTTCCTGGGATGAACATAGAGCATTTAGCCTTGGAAAAAAGGTGGGCATTCTGCGGATTGAAAGTGCAGACCCCAGGCTAAAAGACATGACACTGACATGCAATTACAAACTGGCGAAAGTTCTACTCCATTTTCAGGGTGATGTTGGTTATCCCATGATTGTGAGCTGTTCATATGGAAGTGTCACGACAATACTTAAACAGGATAAGAAGAAGATTTTGGATAATAATGATTTTGATTTGACATTTCGTTCATAAAGACCTTTATTGACAAGTAAACTTGCAACATGATAAATTTTATCAACCGAATTATTGTTTCCATTTATAGTTAATCAAATTTTTATTTTTAAAAATCCATATATATTAAATAAGAATTTATATAGTTTCTTTACAAATAAATAAATTTTTATAATTTTTGTTTTGAAATTGCTGTAATTAGATGTCTTAATATAGATACAATTACCATTTCACCTTTAAGAATTGTATTTTTTATCAATATGTATATTTGAGATTATTCACCAAGCAAGAATGACATAAAAAGAATATCAAAACAAGAACAATATTATTCGATTCTTTTTTTAAATGATGAAAAATGACAATAGTCCATTCCATCCTTAATAAGAAATAATTCCTATATGCGGTAAAGATTTAATTAGAATTCTATTTTCGTCACAATGATCAACCCTGCCCCATTAAAATAGGAAAACATAATACGTGTTAAACATTGTGATCTGACCCTATATACTATATTATTAACCGTTGAATAATATTAACATGACTTCATGACTTTGAATAATATTAAATCCAACAAACAATTTATCACATTATTTTGATAAGAACAGATTTATTATAAATATCATCTCTTTGCTAACTTTTTTTTCACAACAACAAAAAATCTTTTATTAACAAATAAAATTCCATATTTAAAAAAAATAATAACTCCGTAATCTAAAGTTTTAACAACTTAAAATCACGATTAAAAATGAATCCAAAAATCGTTGCCACTTCTACTACTACCACCACCGTTACCGAGAAACCTGATGGAGGTGATCCAACAAATTATTGCTCAATTATGCATTCCTCCGGACCTATTATTCTTGGAGCAACTGAGAAACCAGATGGGGGCGATCCAACCAACTACTGCTCTATCATGTAATTTACACGAGCCTCACATCTCTACACCTTCCTCTCACGATCTGATGAATTATTCAAATATCATCGTAATAAATCAAAAATTTATATTTTAATATAAAAATATTATATATATAGTATGTGTGTGTGATTATTTTAATTTTATTATCTTTTTATTTTATAATCAGATTAGGATTTGTTTATTCAAATAAATTGTAATTTATTATTTTAAATTTTATTTAGTGTTTAATATTTTAATTCATTATTTTTCTGGTAATTGTTCATTCAGAATTAATTTTTATTATGTATTTTTTATTTTATTTCTAAACAATTAAACAATAAAAATTATCATGTTATTCTAAAAAAAAATGTCCAGAAAATAAATTTGTCGCAGATTTTTTTTTAAAAAAAAATCATATGATTGCAAGTTTTGTTCATTCAACCGTAGTAATGCTTGAAATAAGATAACATGGATCACTTGCCTATTTGTGAATATTTCTTGTCAAAAAAATTGATCATTCGGCAGCGATAGTGATATTAGATGATTGATGTTACACAGAATTTTATCTCGTGATTACTTTTTCTCGTCCGAGAATTAATGTAACAATTTTCAGTTATGATATTTGGCCGTTATTTTGTTTATTATTCGTTATATGAATTTACATATATTGTGATGCATTTAGATAAGATATAAAGTGCTATCAACATTTATTTAAACATAATATTATTATTTAATTATATGTAAAAAGGATTATTATTATTAAATTAATCAGCAAAGAAAAGATATCTTAATATAACGTTTCGTTAGGCATAATAAAAGCGAGAAATTGGGTCGCGATCAGTTGTGTTACGTGAAAAAAATAGTACTTTATTAAGATAAAAATATCTTTTGTCATCTTCATCGTTTAAAAGATAATTGAATATTAATGTGGTTCTTGTTTTTGTTATTCTTCTTGATGAATAATCTCAAACATACATATTGATAAAAAAAAATACGATCCTTAAAATGTGAAATTGTACCAGATGGTGTGCTTATTTCAATGAAACAAATCCTAAAGACTACTGTTTTCTGGATTTCTACAAGTTTCGTTCAAAGCAAGTTGACTTTGCCTTCTCTTTTCAAAAGAGGTATAAAAACTAGCAGATCTGGATCTTTTCTTGAAGGGGATTCAGAGGAAATGAAAAAAAGTTGCTAATCAAATGAAGAGTTTTTTAGGGTGTTTGCTTGATTTCATATTATTGTTCACTGTATATTCGATTAATGAAGGAAGCTCTCATAGCTATGGGAATGCTGTCCACCTTATGGATAGAACGCCCGTTGTACTAGTGTATTAATTTCGTGCGAACTAGTTAGGTCATACTCTTATTAACGTTAATTTCTTACTATTTTGAGACTCATCGTGAAACTATCCGCGATATTAATGCTTTTTGGAAATAATTGAACTGAATAATCAGCTACGGGGTCGGTTACAGAATGTAGAGGTTGTAGTTTTTCTTGTCAATTTTAATAAAGTTAGGATTTATATTAATTGTGTTTTGTTTTATTGATCGTAAATTGAAGGTACTAGCTCATTAATAAGCATCTCCGCAGAAATCCTTAAGACTGCCATTGGAAATATTAATTATACATAAATAACATTACTATACTAATATAATATTTCACAGAATTCAGATTGATAATTCGACGTCTGGATAAATAATTGGGTACAAGCGAGCTTGCGGAAATGATAGTACATATAACTTAAATTTATTTGAAGATAACATCTTGACAATTTTGATTTTATCAACAACAAATCACTAATTCCGATCCTACACAGTATTTTCCTGTAAACAAATGCTAATAAACTTTTTTTTTGTCATTCTATTCGGTTCAAATTTTGATGACTCCAAATAAATAAAATTAGTAAATTAGTAAAAATGATAAACAATTAATAATAAAAACCAATAAAATTGAATAACTTCGTTGAATTTTTATTTTTTTTAATCATGAATTTTGTTTCACCGGAAAATATTAAAATCATTAAACTTTTACGATCCGAATAATTCCTCCCGAATCAATATAGAACATGTCAGATCATTGATAGTTGAAGCGAAGCAAGATATTTTTTAATCATGATAATGTAAATGGAACCATTAAAGTCGTTGCACTTATTGATTATTGTATTAGAGAATTATCAAAGTTTAATGTAAATTATTTTCAGGGACGTGTGCTTATAAATGATTTAATTACTGAGAAGTCGGCATTTGTGGATTTTAAGTATGAGAAAAAACAACTAGGAGAAAAAACACGCAAGTATTATTGATGGAAACAACAATGAAAACAATTATAATAATAATTATAACGATAATTGCAACGATAATTATAAAAATAACGATAATGATGAGGACTTTCGAATCTACAACAAATAATAATTCAAAAGATAATAAATTATTCCAAAGAAAATTATCGTGAGTGTGAATGTCGATGAATCCTCCAAAGATATTAAAGATGTTGAAGATATTTAGAAATTCCGCGGAATTTATTTACTAAGATTAATTACAACAACAGTAATGATTTTTTCAGATTTTAAAAATATATTGCCCAGAGAGATGATTTATTTGTGAATCCTTTTCAAGATATTATCAATGATTATGATAATAACAATATTAAAGACAATATCAATGATAATAATGTAACGAAGTAGCATTCTTTCTAAAAGAAGTGATTAACGGAATTACTTTTCTCATTCGAGAATTAGGTAACAATTTTCAGTTATAATATTTGCCGTCATATGTTATTTATTAATTTATATATATATTATGGTGTGTTTACTCATAAGATATATAAGATATGAAATGGTTATCAACATTTATTTTTTTGCTTAAACATAATATTATCATTTAATTATATGTAAAGGAGATTATTATTGTTGTATTAAATGATTCCTATTATAACATTTAGCTGTCTCAATTCTGTAAAGAAATAATTAT